TGATTAGACTCGATCACTCTCCTTCAGCAAACTGTTCATCTGCTCAAGCCGTGTTGTGTACAGTTGTCCATAACCCTTGACGATCTTGCACAGCTTGATGTAGCCATCACGCTCCTGTGCCATGATTATATCCAGCAGCTCACAGTTGTGGGATTTGCCACCGTGGTACTTCTCAGTGATCATAAGCCTGCTGACCTGATCCAGATCCGTAAAGAAGCCATGACTCTGAGCTTTGTCACGTAGGCAAGCAGCACCTAGTGATTGCAGCCAGATGTGGATATCATCAATGAAGATGGCATGCTTGAATGGGTTCTTAAAGAACGTCTCTGAAAAGCAGAAAGGAACGTGATCATATATTGATGATGCCAATATACAATCTGATACGGTACTGTTTCTGCCAAAGCAGCAAAGGCAGTATAAATGTTCTGCAGACAAAGTGCCCGTTACGTCAAATGATCAAATACCCTTAGAAACTATTCCAGCCCGTCAATTTTATTAAATAAGCAACGAGGAGATAATAGATTTTCCTGATAAGTCTCTCATGAAAATTGATAGGAAATTTTGCTTTTATATTCATCATATTCTTCTATTCTTTTGTTTCGTAACCTCTGCCTCACTTATACTATTCCTGACTTGTTTTATCGATTGAACGCGTCCTTCTCGACATCAAGTTTTTAAGTTGTGCATTTGCCTCATAATGCATGCTGCCAGAACACTCTGGTTGACTTTGCTATGAATGAAGGCAGAGTTTTCACATCTGACAATAACGAGATTGCTTCCACACTTCTACACCTAGATACCTGACAATAACGAGATTGTTTCAATACTTCTACACCTTGGTGGATCTACCTGGCGTGGAATTTGCATTCACTTTGCTTGCAGTACTTTTCTTTTCTCCAGCACATTTCAGGACAGGATGATACAGATTTTGCTCTCGCTCGTTTTTGCTCTCACTTTCATTGTTAAAACTCACACTTGTGAATTTCACTGCTGTTGTTCTTAGTGTTATTTCTCTAACTTAGATTTTCTATGATAGCTACATTTTTTTCAGTGTCCTTTAGTACAACAACGATTCGTGATGAGTGGTGCACGAAAACTTGTTCGAATCCTTGTTTTCTCTACACAATTTCTGCATATTTTCATCGTTTTATTGTACATTGTCTCCACCGTTTCACATTGTATGAATAAAGTGTACACAAATGTCGATTCAGCTTGTCTTATTGATTGCGGTTATCATATTATTGTCTCCTCGCCATTTGTTTCGGGAGACCTCGGTTTTTATAATAGTTTTTATTGGTCATAAACCCTCGACCTCCTCATTTATTGTATTTAGAATCAACCAGTAAAAACTCCTACTCAATCTCCAACAACAAAATTAGTGGACAGCTGTTATTTGTGTTGCTATGACAACTCGTGTGCTGGACGAGTATTTGTTGTCATTGGTTCAATTTCTTTTACTCTTCATAGGCTATCAGATCATTTTCCTTATTCGGTCTATTTATAACCAGTATCTATAATGAGAGTGTGGTCTGTCTCCATTGTTTCCGGTGTTCATTTCATAACTATAGCCACTTCTCCTTGTTAGACCTTATCTGGAAGGCCAGTTCTTGCATATTCCAACAGCAGCCAAGGGAGCTAGCTCTCTTTGTTATGGGGACTGGGTCCGATCCTAAAAAGCTGTTTTTATGAACTGTTTTTATGAACTGCTTTTATTGGATAGGATACGATTATGTTGAATAAATGAGGTTTGCGTCAATGGGAGATTGACTTGGAGTTTTTACGAGTCGATTCTAAATATACTTATACCTCTCCATATTCACCTTATCATCCCTACAGCCCAACAAACGAGTCACGTTGGTCATACATGTACATGTACGCAGAACAAACTTAAGTCGTTGTTACTTCACTACAGACTGGCATGTTCTTGCATGAATCGGAGAGTGATGTGTTCCTGACAGAGTCTTGTTCAACTTTTTGTTAGGATCGATCGTGTACACATACAGCACCGAGTACTGCTCTCTTTACAGTAAGTATGGAAAAGTGGTGAATAAGTGGTGAATATCTAGCAATATCCACCACTTCTGTTGGAATGAAGTATAAGCCAGTGTATATAGAGCAAGAAGGTAGACAAGAAGGTATGTATTTTTGTGTGTTTTCGTGTATGTATATAGCATACAGACAGACTAGGACAACAATGGTAACAGCACACAAATTGAAGGGCAGTTGAGTGCAACTAGATAAGAACAGTGTAAAGAGAGCAGTCTTATGTTAAAAGGAATAACGCACCTGTTTCTTCAGAGAGCTCCGCTTCATCCTCCTGATACAGGTTTGCAATGCGTTCGTCCGTTGACCACATGGCATGGCTGAAGATACACACGCACACCCCCCCCCCACACACATACACACACACACACACACACACACACACACACAAACACACAAACACACACACACACATTCAAAATGAACAAACATGGAACATACTAACTATTTGATGACATACATCGATACTTGCGCACACATGTAGATGCCCATATTGCTGGCCGCACTCCTGGGCGCATTCCTGCTCACACTCTTGCCAACGCCCAAACTCCTGCCCACACTCATGTCCGCACACTGTGCCCACACTCCCCTGCCCACACCCCCCCCCCCCGCCCACACTTCTATGCCCACACTCCCCTGCCCACACTTCTCTACCCAATCTTCTCTACCCACACTCCCCTGCTCACACTCCCCTGCCCACACTTCTCTGCCCACACTCCCCTGCCCAAACTTCTCTGCCCACACTCCCTGCCCACACTCCCCTGCCCACACTTCTCTGCCCACCTTTCTCTACCATGGCTCCGGGTTCACGGATGTGTGATTACTGGCTGACATTATGCCATCCTTGGTTAGTGCACCCACACAGTCACTGGCCACAGTGTGAGCGGACCTAGCTTCCCCAGTTGACCCCCTTTCAGAAGAACAGTGTACACTCTGCCCACACTCCCCTGCCCACAATCCCATTCCCACACTCCCATGCCCACACTTCCCTGCCCACACTTCCCTGCCCACACTCCCCTGCCCACACTCCCCTGCCCACACTTCCCTGCCCATACTTCTCTGCCCATACTTCTCTGCGCGCATTCCTGATCACACTCCTGCCCACACTCTCCTGCCCACCCTTCTCTGCCCACACTCCCTGCCCTCTTTTCTCTGCCCACACTTCTCTGCCCACACTCCCTGCCCACACTCCCCTGCCCACACCTCTCTGCGCGCATTCCTGATCACACTCCTACCCACACTCCTGACCACCCTCCTGCCAGCCTTTATGAACATGCTCATACTCCTCCCCTCACTTCTCTGCTCGCATTCTTGACCACACTCCTGCCAGCCTTTCTGAACACGCTCATACTCCTCCCCTCACTTCTCTGCTCGCATTCTTGATCACACTCCTGCCAGCCTTTCTGAACACGCTCGTACTTCTCCCCTCACTTCTCTGCTCGCATTCTTGATCACACTCCTGCCCACACGCCTGCCAGCACTCCTTCCCACAAGCGCGCGAAGGACTAAAGGGACTGTCACTTAATTTTTGCCGACTACCCGCCAAAAAAATCTTTTCGTTTCACGTGTCAGACACGTCCGCGTGCGCCTACCATCACGACTAGCGACTACGTAGTCGACTCGCTACCTTTCACGTCAAGCAATCTGTTCACGCCACATGGCTGGATATCGATTCTAGTTCGTCCACCAACAATTGAAATTAATGTTTCTCACTTGAACACTCTGTAGAGCTGTCGCTGTCATGACAAGGCCGTGTATACTCCAAATCTACATGTAGGATGAAGAGTAACAGTTAATACTCCTGATAATGCTGATAATGAAGTTTGCTCCACAATCGCTCAGAATGCTAATGTGTGTCCATGGAGTACTAAAACGCCCAACGTGGATGAAACGGACAACAGCAGCGGCTAGAGCGTTCTCCTTCCTCGGTGAACACTGCTACAAGACACTATGCTTGATGATTCACCAAACACCAAGTCACCATCGTTGGGGGCCAATTCAGTAGTTTTCCGGCACCAGCGAGTTGTTCGTCCAGCAACTAACTTTGAGTCTTTCTTCAACACTTCGTAGAGCAGCCGCGCAAGGCCTTTCCTTCACGTTAGGGTAGCGATCCTTCCTAGATGCTATCGCCATTCATTGTTACTTTTTACTACTGTACAATGACACTCCAGTAGTGTTTCTCCGAAAATAAAGTCAACTGCCATTACTGAGTAAAGAGTCAGTACTCTCACAACAGACTCAGTAGCAGCTCGGCCTAGCACCTAGCTGGACTTGTAAAAATTAATAATTATTTTGCAAGTCTTCAATCATGTATTGTTTGCTTGTACGCGCTATCCATATCCAGCCACGTGGCGTGAACAGATTGCTTGACGTGAAAGGTAGCGAGTCGAAAACGTAGTCGCTAGTCGTGATCGTAGGCGCACACTGACGTGTCTGACACGTGAAACGAAAAGATTTTTTTGGCGGGTATTCGGCAAAAATTAAGTGACGGTCCCTTTAGTCCTTCGCAGCGCCACTCCCTCCCAGGCTGCTCAGTCCTGCCCCCACTCCTCACTACTACCTACACTACTGCCTGCACTACTGCCTACACTACTACCTGCACTACTGCCTGCACTACTGCCTACACTACTGCCTACACTTCTGCCTACACTACTGCCTACACTACTGCCTGCACTACTGCCTACACTACTGCCTACACTACTGCCTACACTACTGCCTACACTACTGCCTACACTACTGCCGGCACTACTGCCTACACTACTGCCTACACTACTGCCTACACTACTGCCTACACTACTGCCTACACTACTGCCTACACTACTGCCTACACTACTGCCTACACTACTGCCCACACTACTGCCTACACTACTGCCTACACTACTGCCTACACTACTGCCTACACTACTGCCTACACTACTGCCTACACTACTGCCCACACTACTGCCTGCACTACTGCCTACACTACTGCCTACACTACTGCCTACACTACTGCCTACACTACTGCCTACACTACTGCCTACACTACTGCCTACACTACTGCCTGCACTACTGCCTACACTACTGCCTACACTACTGCCTACACTACTGCCTACACTACTGCCTACACTACTGCCTACACTACTGCCTGCACTTCTGCCTACACTACTGCCCACACTACTGCCTGCACTACTGCCTACACTACTGCGTACACTACTGCCTACACTACTGCCTACACTACTGCCTGCAATTCTGCCTACACTACTGCCCACACTACTGCCTGCACTACTGCCTACACTACTGCCTACACTACTGCCTACACTACTGCCTACACTACTGCCTGCACTACTGCCTACACTACTGCCTACACTACTGCCTACACTTCTGCCTGCACTTCTGCCTACACTACTGCCTACACTACTGCCTACACTACTGCCTACACTACTGCCTACACTTCTGCCTGCACTACTGCCTGCACCACTGCCTACACTTCTGCACGCAGTTCTCTTTACACATTTTACCCAGGCGCGTAGCACCGCCGTTGGCGGTGGTCCGGCCAGGGGGGGGGGGGGTTCTTGGGGGGGGGGGGATCTCCCCCCGGAAATATTTTGAAATTAGGGTGCAAAATCCTGCATTCTGGGCACTTTTGGCATTGTTTTACTATTTCCAAGAAAACAACTATGGACAGCATTTAAAGCCTGTTATCTCATCCACCATTGAATAGGTGTACAAAAACTCTCAGCAAAACTAGCGAGGAAAAGAAATGCAGGCAAGAAATAATAATATGTGACAGATGGCGTACAATACGCATTGAAACAATAAGTATAATAATTATTACTGTGCATGGTCCCGCTGCTGTGTACGAAAGCCAAAACCGCGGAAATAAGACAAGAAGAGCAATCACAGGCAAACTGCTAGCTGGGTTACTTAGCTGCAAGATCAGCATCCGTGAATGTGCCAAATATTGAGCGGCGGTGATCACTGCTGGTGACATCGACGAAGGCATTGCCCAACTACACCACAGACACCTTTGGTGCGTCCATGGAGCTATGAAGCCGAGACCTCTGGTCGGCGGAGCTTAATGGGCCCCTCCACCACACTCCATCATTCACCCCAGTGTCTGGAGATATGTGGATTTTGTAGAAAAAAAACAAGAAAAAAAAACAGTGCATCTGTCCTGTCCTTGTGCGTCTGGAGGAGCATGACTGAAATTAACCGACTCTGGCCCATTGTGGAGCGGAGATAGGTCCTGATTCTCCGCATTGCTGAGAAAGATCTCTCGCTGATGGCGTTGGTAGCTGGGCTCACCAGAATCAAGCGCACCAGCTTCACAACTTCAGACAGAAGCTGCCTCTGAGAGGTGGAGTAGCCCCGCAAGAACTTCAGCACAGACCTAAACGTGACATCGTCATTAGAGGTCAGCTGCGTCTGAAGGAGGGAAAACTGGGTCAGAAGGAGGTTGGAGTCGAGATCCTCGCCGTACAACTCTATCACTGCCTTGAACTCGTCTGTAGCGTCCACCCCTTTGGCACTCTTCAAGAGAAGGTTCTCCATCTGCGTGTATATGGCGAAGCCCTTCTGATTAAACCGGGTCTGGATGGAGGACTTGGCACTGTCAAGCACTTCATAATACAGCTGCCGATAGCGGCCTTCCGGGGAGCTGGGGTGGTATGCTGGCTCATCTCCACCTTCATACTTCTGTGGACGTTTGCGTTTGCGAGGGAACTGCGGTTCAGAGACATCAAACTGGTGACTTTTTGCCACAGTAGCCTCCCAGAACATCGAGAATGAAGTCTCTGTGCGCATCTTTGTGATTGTGTTCACCGTCAAACGTGCTATTTTCTGGGCTTCGGCAGCAGACATTGTTGAACTCTGGAGGGAAAAAGAGAGGTTGTCACCATGTGCCAGGACAAGACGGGCCAAACTGATTCCAAAGAAGAAGTTGAAAGTCTCCATTTGAGCCTTCACTCCGATTACGCGAGCACGCACGTCGGGTCCACACTCCCAGCCAGAACTTCATCCCACAGTTCTTGCAAGACCAGATAGTTATCCAGGATGCTTTGCAGACTCTTGCCTCGCACTGTCCAGCGGGTCGGGCACAGCACACGGAATCCTGGTGTGTTGGGCGAGATCTCACCCTTCAGGACGTCAAATCGGGCATTCCGTTTTTGCGAGTACTTATAAAATTAACTTGCTGATCAACTCGCTGGTGACATCGAGGGAATCTCTGGTCACATCGAGGGAATCTCTGGTCAGCACAGTCGTCTTGATGGTGTCGCACATTGCCAGGTTCAGAGAGTGCCCGTAGCAGGGCACAAAAAGAGCCCTTGGCTCTTCATCTCCCAACTGCTTCGCGACACCAGATCTGTGGCCAGCCATATTTGAGGCACCGTCGTAGCATTGGCCTCGGCAACGGTTGAGTCGGTTGGAGGTTGAGTCGCAGCATGCAGTCCCGGATAGCCGCAACGATCGTATCTGCAGATATGTTGTCAATCTGGCACAAACCAACGAAATCTTCATGAGCTTCCAACTCCTGGTCAACCCACTGGAAGCACAACGCCAGCTGTTCCTTGTTACTTCAAAAAAGATACGTCTGCGCACTCATTGGCCATTACGCTGAACACCTCAGCAGTATGGATGGACTTGGCCACATTCCGGAGTATGCTATGAACCATTAGATGAAGGATTTCGTTCTGGATTTTGGGGGAGCAGTACTTATCCACTCGTTGCTCCAGCCAGGCACGCAACTCGGGAGTATGTAGCTTCTGTAGTTGCAGCAGTTGCATAAAGTTCGACTCCGCATTGCCGTGGCCACGCAAGGGAAGACCTTGGCGACCCAAAAACGTCATGTTCTGTAGGATTCTCACAAACATTCGCCGATTCAGGGCTTTCTCCTTGGCATGGGCTTGCCTTAGCGCCTCACCAACGTCCTGGACAGTCTGCGGTAGCACAAGCATCACCTGGACAGCGTCGATATGACACAGCGACTTTTCGTGCCGGCGGAACCCCTCCGTGGCATCTTTCCAATTCTTGAAGCCCTTAGAAATGAAGGCCGAGTCCTCCGATGGCGCTTTCAGCTTCCCTTGCTGATCAGCAAAGGAACACAAATGGCAGGTCACAGAATCCGTCGACTCGTCGTAGTGCAACCAATTGAATTTATCTAACCAAGCTGGTTGAAACGGACGCTCAACGATCGATGTTCGCCCGAAACTTCGCTTTGGAAACGCAAAGTTCCGAGGCTGATGAGCCTCCATGGTGTCCACACAACCAGAAATCAGAGAGGAAAAAGACACACAACTACGAGAATTCTTTGGAAAAAGTGGAACACAAAAAGCAGCGGATCAGCGAAGGCGTGAAAGCGAAAAGCGTCCGTGGATGTGCATCACACAGTGTACATGGTCGTAGGCCATACCGGTAGCCCTATATGCATGTACACTCGCATGTGTTACGCGTGGGGCTCCCTGGTGCAAGCCAGGAAGTCGTACGACCCCCTACGACTCCCTGGTGTAGGCCATGCAGCCTTGCAGGGCCTTAAAAAAACGTGGTCGGACGAAAAAGTGGTCATGTCATTAAGCAAGCAGTGAAGGGAAATTATTGCCACTGCCTACTGACCAGTACTTTGGCCGAGTGGTTGTGGGCTTGCCTGCGAGTCCCAAGGTTCTGAGTTCAAGACTAGTGCTGACACCAGTGAGCGTGTACTTTGTTAACAAATGCTGTGATGCAAGCGTGAACCACTTTACATGCAGTTAACTGCTCTGACATCCACTGTCAACTGGCTACTCACTACACTGTATTCGTAGTGAGGGTAACATAGATGCAGCTAACGAGGTTTGCACCTTGTCAGGCATTGCTTGTGATACTAAGTTACCCTCGCTGTCACGTGCTACATCTGCCACCCTGGTATCTCAGGCATGGTGGTGGCCTTGTACAAGCAAAACTTCCTAAACTGGTTGTGTTTCTCAACACAATTGCATAGGCGATTTGGTTGCGTATCTGCAATCTCTACTTTCTTCTGATTATGTACTTCAAATAGGGAAATGTGTTTTAAATAGGATCTGGGAACTACACAGCTCAATAAGACCTTTCTGGTTTCTAGGGATGACGACACCGCCACATGAAAATACCACATGAAAAGACTACATGAAAAGAACACATTCAAAGGCGTCAGATGCCGCTTTTTTTTACGGATGGAGAGGAAAATTCAGATCCACCAATTACAGTATATGGGCGAAGGTGAAAACCCACTTTCTGCATCAATGTTGCCCTGTTTTCCACACCTCGTGTTCCCAACTCACTGTGGTGTACAGCACAATTGAAGCAATCCTCTTCAAGTCAGGACTTGATCATGATACATATACCTGTCATTGCACAATCATGGTCTGAGATCTCACTCACTGGGCCGGCCTGACTCATTATGTTGGAAATGGTGCAGTACATTTCACTGAACTTTACCTAGGACTGATTCAACGGTTCTATACTTCATTGTTGAGTAATGCATGCGTAGAACTTACAGTGGTGAAGTGGATAGGAAAATCCCACAGCTGCCATCAGCAGCGTGATGCTCAGCATGGCCTGATACATTCAACAGGAAAGAACAGAAAACAGATTTTAAAACTATCCCTGTCTCTGTGCAGAAGTATTCGATTATAGGAATGGGTATCAAATCATCAAGGTTAGCATAACACATACCTAACCAGTCATGTGTTCATTATCCACAGAGAAAATAATTCATTTTTTCGCATAGAATCCCATGCAAACTGAAGTTCTCTTTGAGACCTGAGCAAGCCCATAGATCAAGTTGTGTTGCAAGATAGTGTGAAGTAGACATTTGCACACAAGTAAACTAACACTAGCATACAGGGAGCACACATGGTGTATTGAGCACATTCAACTTTACCAGCATCATCTTGCCGAGCAGCAGTGGACTGACTGGCTTGATCAGAGTGTGACTGGCTGGTCGAAGGAACGCTCTCCGCGGAGTCTGACTGAACAGTGGAGGAAATAGCTCCGTCAGAGACCGGCTGGACGGCTTGCACCTGACGCTTCCGGAATATGTCTGGGAAATCGGTCGCCAGCTGCAGTGTGGAGAGTAACAAATATACAAACAAGCAACAAACATGGCTCTGATATCAACATCAGCTAGTGTCAATATCATCCACACCACTGAGAGTGAAATCAATGAGAGGTACACGGCCGAGAATACATTGTGCATTGGGTAATGGTAGGTGACAGATGTTTTGTTGAGTAAAATGATAGAACAACTTGCATACATCAACAGAGAGACATAGGCAGAGAGGGGGGAGAAGTAGAGAGAGACTGAGAGAGAGAGAGGCAGAGAGAGAGAGAGAGAGAGAGAGAGAGAGAGAGAGAGAGAGAGAGAGAGAGAGAGAGAGAGAGAGAGAGAGAGAGAGAGAGAGAGAGAGAGAGAGAGAGAGAGAGAGAGAGAGAGAAAGAGAAAGAGAAAGAGAAAGAGAAAGAGAAAGAGAAAGAGAAAGAGAAAGAGAAAGAGAAAGAGAAAGAGAAAGAGAAAGAGAAATAGAAAGAGAAAGAAAGAGAGAGAGAGAGAGAGAGAGAGAGAGAGAGAGAGGGAGAGAGAGAAAGAGAGAGAGAGCGAGAGAGAGAGAGAGGGAAAGAGAGAGGGAGAGAGAGAGACTGAGAGAGAGAGGGGCATACGCAACAGGCGATCACACTCACCAGTTCTTCATGCTGCCGTAGCACCTTGCAGATCTTTGCAAAGCGCTTGGCGTTCGGTGATTTCAGTAGCAGCTGGTGAAGCTTGGTCGAGGTGTGATGGTAGTCGGTAACTGCCCAGCTGTGGACCAATGCTGCTGCAGTGTGTAGATGATTACTGTGCTCACGTGATGAAGGTGGTGATGTAAGGCCCAGGCAGGTGGCTAGTGCAGGCAGGTCGGACTCACCAAGGCTTTCTCGGATGGACTCAAAGGACTTTGCAGAGAGCAGTGAAGCATGGTTGACCGGCCATTCGAGAAGAAGCGGGGCACGATCAACGTAACGTTGGCTAGTGGAGAGATGACCCTTTGTTGCTACGGATGATCGGACTTGCTCTGCATCGTACACAGCGAAATCAAACTTGTCGCTTGGCTCGTGGAGGTGCTGACGAATCGAAGCAGAGCTGATGATCCTTGTGGAGTAGCTAGTGCCCGGGCTATACTGTGCTTCAAGGTCACCAAACACCTTGCGCAACAGAGCCAGCAGACAATAGCCATCTAGCGAATCTTCAACGGGCGCATGGACAACAGCGACAGCTTGGCGCAGGCTGTCCGTGACGGAGATGCAACCACGGGCTGTAGAATGGACTGGAGCCACTACCACCAGATTCTTCCAGAGCTCAGCAGGAATGCCGTGAAGCTCGTGGAAATAGGCGTACAGCTCTGTCTGTAGCCGGATAACAAGAGCAGTGGAGAAGCAGTGCTGAGTCGTGAAAGAGACTCCTGCGCACGCCGACCGAGATGATGAATCTTTCTTGGCCAGTGAGCCGAGGCAGTTGTCAGCGGTCGGAAGACGGCTGGGTGCCAGGATCCTTTCTTTCTCCTGCAGCAACACACCTAGTTGTATTACCATCTGCAGCAGCAGACGGCCCTGACCTTTTGCTCCCTCGCAGCTGTTGAGCTTGTCCAGGACTTTTCGGAACATTGCAACACCATCCTTGAAGTGGAGCATATCTTCATCATCAAGCCCAGGTGGTGCGAAGATGAGACCAATGACCTTGGAGAGCAACCAGTTGGGTCGGTTAACAATGATGTCGTCCAGCTCAGGGGATGAGAAAGAAACAATCTAGAAACAAAAACACGATATGCAAACCCATACACACAGCAACACACATAGTTGTAAGCCAACATGCCCAAGCATGGATGCACACACATCCCACACGCATGCGCAGACAGAAGGATATTAAAAAAGGCCAAATACCTCCAAAATAAAACAAAACAAAGCAAGTCAACCAACCAATCCTCATGACAGTACACTTTGCCTGACCCCACATTGAGAGACAATGCATACCTGTTAAATGAACCATCCTAAGTTTTAAAGAAATGGATGTAAGGGAAACGGGTACAGATTCGCTGGCTTGAGTTGACGTATCCTCTCATGAACACGAATACAACCCTCTGGTGCCAGCCAAAGCAGCACTATGCAGCACACCCTCATATAAACTCACTTTTGAAGATCAATCCATCTAAGGTGTAAAGCACAATGCACCTGTTCTCAATGATCTCTTTATCAGCCTAAAGCCAGCAATCTGTAGGTGATGTCCCCTGCTGTCAAGCCCCAGCTAGCCATAATGTGCACAGCAACACACTAAACCTGTCCCACAATTTCCACTTCACCTTGAAGTTTCCAGCAGCCTTAAACCTACTAGTATCGGTGTATAGCTGGTCTAGCACTAAATAATAGATCATAAACTACAGCTAATTGCAGGATGGGCATCGGAATGTTCTAGATATGGGCTGTAAAAGAAGAAGGAACAAATAAAACCGGTTGCATCTTTCCCTCAAACCAACGAATAAGAACAAATGCACTTTAGGGGTCGTAGCAAAATTTTGTTTTGTCCCTGAAACGAGCATTATTCGTTGGAGGGGGTGGGAGGGGGGGGGGGGCAAAAATCGCAAGTCGACCGACACTACAGTCCATTCATCGGAAACTGTCCGGCTGGCTTTTGAAAGTTCAATCTGGGCCGAATTGAGGATACAAACCCACTTTAAATCTCAAGAATCTCATTCTGGGTTTGGGATTTACTTCTCCACATATTTTGCCATGGCATAGCTATCTAAATTTTGTAAACCTCGCTGAATTTCTACTTCCCTGTTCTTGGGCATTTCTGCCCTCAAATGTGGCAAGGAGTTATTGCATGGGTCACACCATGCAGGATATCTACTATGTGCGGGAGACACCAAAAAGGTAGGGTGCCAGTTTTCAATAAATCGGGAAAAAAATCACAAGTCGACTGATACTATACATATGTACATGACTACATTTACATGCATGTGATTTTCGTCATCCAGCATAGCAATCTGTGTTTGTTTCATAAGGACTGGAGGCGGTCGAAGTAAGAAATGAGCGATGTTCATTCAGGGACGATAAAACACTTTTGCGATGATCCCTTAGAGATGTACATGACGTAGATGACATACATCATAACATGAAATACATCTACTGCAAGTAAATTGAAACTACTCTATCTGCAGAGTATGTACATACCAGCCCATACGCATTGAGGATCTTGCGATATCGACGGATTTGTGCGGTGTTGATGCTATCTTCATCGTCATCATACTGTACGTGGCTAGCAGCACAAAGCTGTCGAGAGAACTTCCGACTTGTTGAGAATGGCTCTTGGATGTTGTCATGCAGTTGTGCCAATATTTCCTCTGCCTGCCCGAGCACTTTGGGTTGCTTGCAAGATTTCTGAACATGCACATCAACACAGTGGGTAAAGTACACTCTGTTCACAAACATGATTAAACATTTTATCGTTAATGATGTATGTATACGTCACTGAGAACGAACCCAATCCACTAATGACGTACTTCCTCCGTAAGCGAAACTTCATTGCATATTTACAGTTCAGTCTAAAGCATTCTATGGCTACAAACACACTTTGAAAAGTGGAAAACACAGCAGCATATGAGGGATTAGTTATTTACAGATGTCATACAGCTCGTTTCAAAGCAGTCCAGCTTCACTCTTCGTCTGAATCTCATGACGACTCCATTAAGATATCGTGTCTGCATCCCCGCTGACTTTCGTTTTTCTTCCGCAGCCTTTACAAGTTGCCAAAACACTAGAAATCGCCAAGTTCTTTGCCAGAACTGTGAGCTTGACGACCTCCACAGTGGCGCTGGTAGTTGTTGTCTCTGCCACTCTCCAGAATGCCTTGATGAGAAGAGGCATACAGACACAGGCAAACGCTCCTCATCTTGGCAATGGGGTATTACTATTCATGCCAACATGTTTCCACAGCTTGCAGAAGCTTATTTCTGGTTTCCTTCGTCACAAGTGACCAGTGTGCCTGCAGGCTGTGGAAGAATACCAAGTCGTCGAAGTTGAGATTGGGACTTTGAGTTGGCTGAATGGCAACCCGCATGTCAAACCCTTTTGCTTTCCCTGTGCTGCTAACACACTTGCATTGATTTTGGCTGTGTGCGGACGTGCAACATCGTGCTGGTACGGCATGCAGTGGCTGGCCGGCTTCTTCGAGCAACGCATCTTTTAAACAGTTTCTCATTTTCGCACTTCAGTGTCGTCTGGGCCTGGCTGGGGTTGTGTTCTGGTGCCGATTTTCGAAAGAACTCCACCCTTTTCAGTGGCGTGTCCAGGATTTGGCTGACGGGGGGGGGGGGGGGGGGGGGGTGCGGCCGGGATGCGGTGGGGGTAGACATCATGCTACTGTCCCAGGTCAGCCATTTTGAAAACCGATGTCAAGAAGCCGTAAATCTCACACACCACTTAGAGCAGTATTTCTGTACACGCACTTACATTATACATTCTAAACTTGAAATTACAATTCTTTTCAAATACATCCATTTTCAACCTCATATCTTATGCCTTTTTGATATCAATATTTTTCGTAGTGAACGCAGACCAAACAAGTTTGTTTTCAACTCTCATGGGAAATTTTCATCTTCCCTTTTCTTACATAAATCGGCAAATTATGGAATTGCTTTCCACCCAAAATTACCGCTATAGATTCTGTTTCAGAATTTCGGACACAATTTTGCGCTCATTATAAACAGCATATATTTGCCTGCACAAGTCGTTATAAATAATTAATGCTGATTCTCACTGTTAGGAGATTGTCCAACAATTTCTCACTGCTCAAAGCATCCTCTACATAGGCGGCGGTACTATGTCCACTTGTCACTGTGCGCTGTTCTTCATGCTATTGCTGCTCGCTGACAACAGGTACTTCCACGTCTGGCGGAGTGTGACTGTCAAGTGTCAGTCCGCTCCGAAAGTAAAAGT